ATTCTCTTGATTTGTATTTGGAAATAGATGGGCGAAACATAAGAAGAGAGACTAACGTTAAATTTTTGGGAGTCATAATTGATGAAAAGTTAACCTGGAAAAATCACTGTGACTTTCTAATAACAAAATTAAGTTCGATTGTTTACCTTTTTAAAAATCTAAGGTCAATCTTAACACTTGAACAGTTATTGAATTTATATCATGCCCAAGTTAGTTCACGACTTTCTTATGGAATATGCTTTTGGGGATCTTCTACTAATTGTTTTAATGTATTTGTAAGTCAGAAAAGAATTGTACGATGTATTGCCGGAGTATCGCAAATCTACTCATGCAAGTGTCTTTTTAAGCAGTATAGCATACTGCCATTGCCATGTGTTGTAATTTTTGAATTGGGTGTGTTAAGAAAATAACGGGAATTGTTAAATTTCGCGGGTTCGGAGGGTCCGGTTGTCACAAAAATTTTCTTTATTATGTTGATAAAAACTAGCTGTTTTCATTGTTTACTTTGTCTGTGGCAGCCGCTAAGGTTAGACGTGTTTTATGAGCTCGGCGATTTTTCGTTCGTTAAAAGAAATGGATCAAAGAATTTGTATCCAATTTTGCTTAAAAAATGAAATAAAGTCTTTATTATGTTGGTATACATGCCCCCGAAGTATGATAAAAACTTTAGCTGTTTTCATTGTTTACTTTGTCTGTGGCAGCCGCTAAGGTTAGACGTGTTTTATGAGCTCGGCGATTTTCGTTTGTTAAAAGAAATGAATCCAAGAATTTGTATCCAATTTTGCTTAAAAAGTGAAATAAATTCTGTGAAATGTTAACAAAGACCTATAGCGAGTCTGCTATAAGTAAAACAAGAGTTTACAAGTGGTAAGAGTTTCCAAGATGGCCGTGAAGACGTTGAAGATGACGAACGCCCAAACGCACAAGCACATTAACAACCGATAAAAACATGGAAAAAGTGGAAGAAATGGTTATAATCCATCAGAGAAGTCGCTGATGATTTAGCGATGTTTTAGAAGTGTTTTGAATATTGGAAGAAGAGCTGGCACATGTGCATAATATCCAATGGGGACTATTTTGAAGGCGACCACATTAATGTAGACAAATAAATAAATATTTGTTTCAAAAAACTAAAATTCCCGATATTTTCTGAACACACCTCGTATATGTAATTTTAAACAAGAATAAATTTTTTAAAAAATTTGATATTCATAGTTTTAACACTCGTATGAGGAATAATTTAAGAGTACCATTTGATAGAATAAATATAAAAAAATTCTCCAAATAGTTTAGGTATAACTACACGGAGAAAAAAGTTTATTGCTCCCAAATAAAAAAAATATTTAAATATGGGACAAGGGTACAGTTTATTTATCCTAAATATATTTTTATTCCCGACATATAAAGTTTTACTAAAGTATATTTATCGTTATTATTTCGACTATTTAGAGGTAATAAACAATATATTCACTACAAATAAAAGTATTAGGTAAACAGTTTATTTGTCCCATTTTTTTCTCAGTGTATTTTTAACAGGCTTCCAGAGGAAATTAAAAATGTTGAAACAGTTTTTAAATTTAAATCTCTTTTAAAGCCGTTTTTGTTATTTAATTTTTTTATAATTTTATAATTTTTTTATAGCATAAATGAGTTTTTAGGTAATTAGCATTAGTTGTATATATGTATATATATATATATATATATATATATATATATATATTAGGGTGTTCCTTATTTAGGGGTCGGAAAAAATTTAACAGAGCCGCCCCCCAAATCGGTTCCAAATCTCAAAAAAAAAATTCCTGCAAAATTTTAGGTCATTCGGTCAAAGGGAACACGTGCCCCACAGGGGTTTTTTAAGAAATAATTGAGAAAATTCGGAAGGCTGATATAACTCCGAAACGGTCCATCGTAGGAAAAAAAAGTGTATATAAATTTTATGTGTTTTTTTTAGATAAACAACTTTTGTAATAACAGTCCTGCGTTAAAAAAATTTATTCTGGGTCAAAACGCGATAAAACGCTTTTTTGTGTACTTTAGCGCTACCTACTTTTTCAATTTTCTGTCCTAGAGCATCGACCCAATGACATAAATTGTAGGAGACAATGCACCCTACATTTTTTGTTTACAAAATTTTTTTCTTAAACTAACCGATTTTGAAAAAAATTAAATCCAAAACTTTTTGAGTTTTCACCAAAAACACGTTGTGCTCCGAAACTCCGAAACGGTTTATCGTAGGAAAAAAAAGTTTAAATAAATTTTGTAGTTTTTTTTTCAAGCTAATCAATTTTCCTAATGCCTTTGTCACAATAGTGTTAATGTTAATGGTAATGTTTATATAGCATAGACAAATGCGTGTATCAACGTAACCATCAACATTACCGTCATAGTGAACGGATACACGCATATTTCTATGCTTTGGGTATTAACATTAACATTACTATTAACATTAACACTATTGTGAGATATAATAATAGTGCTGCGTTAAAAAAAAATCGAGTTCAAAAAGCGATACAACGCTTTTTTGGTACTTTGGCCCTACTACTGCTGAAATTTTCGATCGACTTAGGGCCGGTTTATCAATGTCCAGTTAAAGTTGCAGTTAGTTATCGGGCAGATAATCTCCATGGATACCATTGTTCTCACAACGATCGATATGGAATTTAACTGTCAGATAGACTAACTGGAACTTAACCAGAGATTGATAAACCGGCCCTTAATAACATAAATTGTAGGGACTACATTTTTTGATTAAATTTTTTTTCCTAAATCTTATCGTTTTTGAAAAAAATAAAATATAAAAAAACAAAAATTGAGTTTTCTCCTTAATCCGGAGTAGGATAACGCAGTTGAGTTTTCTCCTTAATCCGGACTAGGATAACGCAGTTGAGTTTAGGCTTTTCTTATAAGGCCACAATGATTCACGCAAAAAAAAAATCTTGCAAAATTTAAGATTAATCCGTCAAAACTAACACGTACGCACGTGTTATTTTTGCCGATTAACCTCAAATTTTGCAAGATTTTTTTTTTTGCGTTGATACACGCATTTGTCTATGCTTTATTAACATTACCATTAACATTAACACTATTGTGACAAAGGCATTAGGAAAGTTGATTAGCTTGAAAAAAACTACAAAATATATTTTAACTTTTTTTCCTACGATAAACCGTTTCGTAGTTTCGGAGCACAACGTGTTTTTAGTGAAAACTCAAAAAGTTTTGGATTTAATTTTTTTCAAAATCGGTTAGTTTAAGAAAAAAATTTTGTCAACAAAAAATGTAGGGTGCATTGTCCCCTACAATTTATGTCATTGGGTCGATGCTCTAGGACAGAAAATTGAAAAAGTAGGTAGCGCTAAAGTACACAAAAAAGCGTTTTATCGCGTTTTGACCCCGAATAAATTTTTTTAACGCAGGACTGTTATTACGAAAGTTGTTTATCTAAAAAAAACACATAAAATTTATATACACTTTTTTTTCCTACGATGGACCGTTTCGGAGTTATATCAGCCTTCCGAATTTTCTCAATTATTTCTTAAAAAACCCCTGTGGGGCACGTGTTCCCTTTGACCGAATGACCTAAAATTTTGCAGGAATTTTTTTTTTATGATTTGGAACCGATTTGGGGGGCGGCTCTGTTAAATTTTTTCCGACCCCTAAATAAGGAACACCCTAATATATATATATATATATATTATCTATTGTATGTAATTTTTATTTTGCGTTTAGGTATATATTTTTATTGCTTGTGTACCTTTAACTGTTTTAGATTTTATATTTTTATACCTTATCCACCTGACGTTTTCTATACATGTACAGGGTGATCCCCTATAATGTCGCCCTCCTTTAACTTTTTTATTTCCCAAAAAATTTAAAAGTTTGGTTATGTAGGAACTAAAAAATACTTTTTTTCTACCTATAAAGAAAATTGGAAAATTGATCAGTATACAGGGAAAAACAAAAAGTTTCTTTTTTTTCTATGGATCACCCTATATATGAATTTATTTTTCGATTCCTTGTAAAATTCTGAGCATAATTCATATAACAAACCATATACCTAAATTCAACTGTTTCTGAAATATTCACATTCGAAATGTTATCATTAAATGTTTACCAAAAGTATACCAAAATTTTTATTGAAAATAAATTACTATAGTGACATTATGTCAATATATCTTGTTAAATAAGTAACGTACTCAGACAGAGAAAGACAAACTATTTCAACTTATTATATTAAAAATAATTTAAATATTTCAGAAACGGTTAAATTTAGGTATATGGTATGTTATTTGAAATATGCTTAGAATTTTACAAGGAATCGAAAAATAAATACATATATAGGGTGATCCATTGAAAAAAAATAAACATTTTGTTTTTCCCTGTATACTGATCAATTTTCCAATTTTCTTTAGGTATACGTAGAAAAAAAGTATTTTTTAGTACCTACATAACCACACTTTTAAATTTTTTGGAACCCTTAAAATAAAAAAGTTAAAGGGGGCGACATTATAGGGGATCACCCTGTACCTATTGTCTACAGAAAATAAATATATTATTATTATTATTATTATTAATATTATACCTATTTTACAGTTATATAAAGATTAATTAAGTTATTAATTTGTAAAACTGTTGACCTAGACTATCCTGTCCTAACATTCCTTTGCACAAGTCCCGTTCAATTCAAACATATACAATGCGACCAAAAAACAAAACAACCGGATTTCCGGCAATCCCAACTCACGAATCGATAGCTTCGGCCCTTACGTTTGCAGACCTGCCCAACCCCAACACATTTTTCGGTAGGTCATTGGCAGCTAACAAAAGGGGAAGCATGAAAAAATAATATAGGGGGAGGGGGAGACTACCGCATCATATCAGCTACTATATGTAACGGCGCTCAGAGTATACATGTGCTCGATGCCGGTTTAAACACAATTCCTAATCTTTGAGGTTCGTTTGGCTTTTTGATAGTCTCTGTCTTTTTCTATGGTGTTATAGTGTTTGACGCGGTGTGTCGGTGTGCACATGGTTGCTTCAAACTTAACCGTATGTGTATTGTATTGAAATGTGATTTGTGTTGTGTTCTTTTTTCATAAAGTATTTTTTTTTTAATTTTCGGCGTAAGTTACTATTTAAAATGTGCATGCTATTTTGTTTATGTAGACATAGATTTTTTCATAAATATACATATATGTATATTGCAAAAATAAGACGAATAATAAATTGACTTAAAAACAAAATAAATACGTAGAGATAGCATATTTTTTGCTTAACGTATAAATTTCGTATCAACGCAACGACCATTATAAAAATAAATAAACAAATTGGTTATAAATTCAATGTTTAAAATATAAATATTTCAAATATCAAAAACCTTCAAATATTAAAATTTATATGTTTTTACATTTATGAATCAAATTATAAAAAACAATACTACAGATGTGATTTTTATTGATTGCATATTGATTTTTATGTGATTTTTAATATGTGGAAAGTTATTGTGGATATTAAAGAAAAATATAAATTAATTTAATTAAGGGCAATCAAAACAAAATTCGGTTAACCGATTTAAAATTTAAATTACGAACGAAAATTGTATGCTATAGCATACAATTATCTTGTTTGTAAAATATATTTTTCATTTTTATTTTTATGTAGGTATACAAAAGGTGTTCTGAAAATTAGTACCTAAAAAATTTTACATTTATTTATAATAAAGTTATATATACAGGGTAACCAATAGTCGCGGGTTCCAGTCGTTTGATTGTTTATTTGGTAGCTTTACTTAACAGAAAAATAATTTTATATAAATTAAACTTTCATTTACGAATTTTATGCAACATGGCTTTTTTGTAGAGCGTTCAATTCTCTACAAAAACAGAATTTTCCATTATTATCGGTTTATTCGCCAACGACTTATAAAATTTCAAAGAGCAAAAAAGTTTTTCCATATTAATTTCATAGAAAATTTAGATCATAAAGCAGAGCGGAGTTGAAATTTCCAGGATTTTTTTATCGCCTTGAAAGCGTTTGAGCGCTTGGGAGCATAACAATTCAAAAAACCCCCAAACAATGACCACCCTTATATAAAAATACAGGGTGTCCCAGAACTTGCGCAACACCTTAAAGGTAAATGCTCTACAGAACCCCAGGAATCCTAGAAAATTTTTAACAAGAGTTCTGCCTTTATTATTTAAAAAGATATGAGGGCGTAAACATTGAGTTTTTAAACTTAAAAATAATGAGTTTACCTTGATTATTTTGTTTTAAGTCCTATTCTATAGATTAGGTCTAATGTAGAATGATTGACAGTTTAAATTCAAAATTAGATTCTGAATATTCTAGATTAGATTCTGACTATTATAGATTATTATAGATTATTAGATTCTGACTATAAAAAAGGGATGGGCGAATTCGAATTAAAAATAACCTGTAATCCGATTATTCAAATAATCGTTTGAATCCGATTATTGGAATAATCGTAATTCGAATTAAAAATAATCTGCTCAAATACGTATTAAAGTCACTTCTAATCGCGTTTTTTCTTCAAGATCAGGATATATCATAACATTAAACAAATTTTATAATCGTATCGTAAAATCATAATCGTAAATTACTATTTAAATAGTCATACCTACAATTGTAGGTATTCTAGTCGCCGAACGAATCATTCAATTTGAAATCCGAATGAAAATATGCGATTAATAATCGCGGATTACTTAATTCGAAAATAAACGGCGATTATTAATCGCATACTTTCATTCGAATTATCAATTCGATTAAATTATTCTGATATTGAAATCCGAATGAAAGTATGCGATTTAGGTATAATCGCCGATTATTTAATCGAATTATCATCCGATTATTGAAATAATCGTATCGGATATAATCGGTTATTGATATAATCCGATTATGCCCATAGTATAAAAGTATGTATGTTGTATTAAGAGAATGCTTAAAAATTCTAGTTATTTACCTGTGTGTGTCAATGTAATGTTAATATTTGATTAGTTTTTTTTTAACGATGTAATGGTTTTATGTTTTTATTATTTCTGTATTTGCTTCTCTCAAGTCTGACGTAAAATAAAAAAAAGTAAAGAATTTGACACTTTTTAAAATTGTTATTTGTTGTCATGATGAGAAAGAATTAAACTACCACTATATTAGTATGCAATCGTGCAATTTAAAAAAAATGTATCTTTTTAAATAACGACGGTAGATGTAGAACATACAACTTTAAGGTGTTGCGCGACTTCTGGGACACCTTGTATATAATATTATCAGAAAACTATAGTTAATTTATGATTTAAATTTTATAGTTTAAAATTTTTAAAACAAACTGTCATAGAATATCATACCTATTATTTTTTATTCCAAATCAACGGATAATTTTATTATTATATAATAGAATTCGCCAGAATGAAGATTTAAAAATGTGTTCGTAGTATGGCGCAAGTGCGTCATTTTTAGGACACATTTAAAATAAAATAATGACAAAAATACGTAATACGTAATCTATTTATATACATTATTTTATTTAAACGTTTTAAGGAAACATTTTTACCTACAGGCTTATTCTTTTTGGCTACAACCCTGGTATATAGTTTAATATTAATTAATTTTTTTACAATTTTTACATAGAAATAGGTATTCAAAGGATATGTATATTTAATTTTCTAAGAAATTTGCAAAAATAGACTGACATTTCTTCGAAAATGGGAAACGCAAGTTGTACATTTTGATTATTTCATAAAAGTAATGGAATAATTTAAATATAAAACCTTTTTTCTAAGAAAAAAAATTATTTAAGTACTTTTAAATACTTAAATCCTTTCAGTGTTTTCTCAATTTGGAATAAATCAGGATGTAACATCCATATTGTTTTATGCCCAGATATACTGTTATCCAATGCCCAGCCTGGGCACCACACGGTTATTAGGGAAAAACAAAATTAAAAATGTACTTGACATTGTCAAGTTGACAAATTAAGTATTATGGATATTCCATAATTTCCCGATTTATAAAAAATATTTATTATTCATATTCAAAACACACAATGCTTCCTTCCCAGAGTGGGTGTTCATAAAAATAATCAAGTCATATTCTTGAATGCAAATGTAAAAAATTAAACATATTACCAATATTAAACATTTTACTTTATTTGAAATAAATACAATAAAAAATTAATTTTAAATCTCCGTAAGATTAAAAATCAATTATGTTTGATTATGTTTGAAACTATTTAAATACCGTTAAATACCTACACTGTTGATCCTACAGGTCAATTTTGCACTTCGTGGCCCAAGCATCGCTCAATGAGATATTTATGAAATATAAGTGACTTTACGACCCAGGAGAGGCAAAATTGGATCTCCAGGGTAGAAATACACCTGTATTTATCAAACAAAAATTTAATGATATATTTTTCTACTTCCACCTTTAAAACGCCTATTATCTTAGGTATGTACATGTTTCAATTACCTTTTAAATACACATTGACAAGTTGTGGCCTTATGGCGTTTTAGTCACGGGCTGAAGTTGGCAATAGGTTTTTAATCACGTGAAGTTAGTTTTAAGTAAGTTGATAGTTGTAAAAGTCATATAATCGTGTAAATAAATTGCCCTTTTTGTAAAATAATACTAAATGTGCAAATTATTTTATTATCTTAATATAAAAATACAAAAGTATTTAATAGTTTCTCAACGCCAAAATTAAAATAATTCATATTCAGTAGTACTGAACTTTTGATTTGCCGGCAGTAAACTAGATTTAACTGATATCGGGTGAAGATTTCACCGTGGAGTGCCTATAAAACATTATCTTCACTTTCACTGTAAAAACTGCTTCTACATGTATATCAGAGTTCCTATAATAAACGAGAATTTTTAAAGATGAACTTTTGATTTTGCCGGCAGTAAACTAGATTTAACTGATATCGGGTGAAGATTTCACAGTGGAGTGCCTATAAAATATTATCTTCACTTTCACTGTAAAAACTGCTTCTACATGTATATCGATATATCAGAGTTCCTATAATAATTAAATAATAATTTTTAAAAGACCAGAGGGGTGAAAGATTGATGATGATCGGAAATATCGATATTAAAACTACCAAAAAAATGGATAAGATATTGGAAAGAAAGGAGTTGGAGAAGAAGAGGTTTGAAGAAAAAATTAAAGACACAAATTCAGAACATATTAGTATAAAAAGAGGACGAAATGGATGCTATCGATATTACCGAGTCTGATATGTCACAAGCATCAACGTCTTCTAGAATGCCTTCCAAAAAAGGTTTTATCTAATGCGTCTGAAAAGCATGTGACAGAAGTGGACTCTCAGATAAAAATGCGTCTCTCCTGGGAAACGCTGTACTTTAATTTAGTAAGTTATGAGGATCCTTCTTTAATCATGCACGGTGGTTAATAACAGCAAACAGAATATTAATATTATATGTTACAATAGAAGAACCATATTATAAATTAAATATATTAACCAAGGTATATTAAGGTATATTCCACAACCTGGTTTCTTGTCAAGTCAGCATGGCCCCCAACATTTATTTAATTTAATTCAAGCTTCTCGATATTTACCGACCAAATTCAAACATATTGTAAATAAGGTTATCCAAAGAAATATATATATATATATATATATATATATATATATATATATATATATATCACACTGTCACTTTATTTTTATACAAAGATTCTACGGTTATTTTTCAATTTGTTATTTTTATATGCAAGAAGTTTATAAATAGAGCAATAATCACCTACTTAAAAGGAGAACCCCTCTTTAAATCATTGACTATTTAAGTACTGTTACATAATATGTACTTCAATGCATTTTACAGCATTTTTTCCTTTTAATACGAGGAAAACAATTGTTTTTTGTTAAGCTAATTTTTAAATTATTTTGCAAGCATATACTTAAAACCAATTTATTTATACAAAAAGATCAATTAAAAAAATAAATGTAATTACAATCTATTCACAGCAGTAAAGGTTTTAAATAGTTTTATTTTCTATAGATTTTCGCAAGGTCCGGGGACTTTGGGACACCCTGTATACAGTGGCGTAGCTGAAAAAATTAGGGCCCCCTACAAAACTTTATCACGGGCGCCCTCACTTTAATGAGGATAATGGCGATAAGTATTTAAAATGTTAATCCTAGAATTAATTAACAAAGGAAAACCCAAATCTTGGAAATTTTTAAAAATTCAAAGATTTTTTAGAAGTAGGTAGGTATTGCTCTACTTTAAATCTTTTTTTGCATATAAAAATAACAAATTGATAAATAACCGGAGAACCTTAGTAAACCAAAAAAGAGAGTGTGATAGGTACAATTATATAAATTTAGTATTTAAATAGTAGTTTTACTTTTTTTAATCTATTTTAGAAAATCGCCCTCGGTGGTGTAGTAGTTAGCACTGCGGACTACAAGCCGAGAGGTATGGCGGTTTATTTGTTTTTGTATTTGTGTTTGTCATTGTGTACTTCTGTAATTGGGCCTGGTGCCTGTCGAAGGCACATTAAAAATAATAATAATAAAAAAATAATTTGGCCTGCACATAATATATTATTATTGGGTTGGAAATATGTAGATAATTATACTGCCCTACTATGGAGAAAGGCAGTAACTGCAAAAAAATGCAAAATACGTTTTCTTGTGCTATATTAAAGCTATGGACATTTTGTAACCGAATTTAACACAGAAATGCAGTCAAATATCTCCTACTGCTTTTTATAAAAATGTAGTTTTTGCTAATATTCCACAAATTTCTTGTTTAGCAGTTACTGCCTTTCTCCAAAGTAGGGCAGTATAGCAATAATACTTAATATTAATAAACATACAAAAATCTTCTTCTTTTTAATTTGCCTTTTCTTTTAACCATACACCGTGTGGCTGTATTTTAATAATATTAATCTTAAATATTTCTATATAAAATAATAATAATAATAAGTTTATTAGCCCAACGGAAAAATCCAATAATAGGACAATAATAATAATAACAATATTAATACATAGGTACAATTATTTATATCACATAGATTTGAAATAACATTAAAATTGCGTGTTATAACATTAGTAGGCGAGTAATGCAACATTTGTGCGACAAAATTGGCTAAAAAATGTGCAGTCGAATCTGGCGTTTGGGACGTGGGACAAAAAATGCAAACTATACAATAAAACATTTGAATCGATTAAATTATTTAATAATTTATATAAAAATACTTGACTGGCTATGAATCTTCTATCAGCCAATGAAATTGGGGAATTCCACGTGAATTCGACACGAAAAAACCCTTGCCATTTCGAAATTCAATGGCAATTTTCCCATGGGTTCCCTGACTCAAATTAAAATTCAATTTTAATTTTAGCACGGTTTGTCAATTGTTTTTGGAGTTATGATTTTTTAAATTTTCATGATTATGACGATTTTGCCAATATGCCATCGATCATAACTTTGGTTCCAATTTTTTAATCTTTAAGCGAATACAATTTTTTTCATCTATATTAGATCGTTGCTATTGAAAAATTAATATTTTTTTCGGAATTTTAAATTTTAATCATTTCGATTTTTTCCACTTTTGGACATTTTGTAATATCAAAAATGATTTTTTTCATCATTGATTTTTATTCTTAAAATAATTATTAAAAATAATATATTTTTAAAGGATTTTAATAGTTAAAAGGGTTAAATATAAAAAGATTAAATAAAAAAAATCATTTTTGATATTACAAAATGCCCGAAAGAGGAAAAAATCAAAATTCAAAATTCCGAAAAAATTATTAATTTTTCGATAGCCACGATCTAATATAGATAAAAAAAACTTGTATTCGCACAGTGTAGAAAATGGATTTTTAGTTTTCGAAGAAAAAAATCATAGTGTGCCGATATGCCACAGCATCAAAAATATTTATTTCAAATAGCTTGTTTCAAGACAAGAAAAATGATTGGTCGTTCGTCGAAATCGCTCAATTGGAACAAAAATTATGATCGATGATATATTGGCAAAATCGTTATACCTAATCATGAAAATTTTAAAAATCATATCTCTAAAATTAAAATTGAATTCCCCATATATAGTACATTATTAATACCGGGGTATCCAATTTTGCCCCTCCTGGGTCGTTAAGTTACTTATATTACGAAGCGCAAAATTAACCTGCAATTAACACATGTGTATTCAACGGTATTTAAATAGTATTCAAGTATTCAACGGTATTCAGGTATTCAACGGTATTTAAATAGTTTGGAATGTTATTGATTTTTAATCTTACGGAGATTTAAAATTGAATTTTTTATTGTACTTATTACGATTAACGTAAAATGTTTAATATTGGTAATTTCTTTCATTTAAAATTAAATATTTTTAATAAGTAGAAATTTTATGGAATATCCATTACCAAAATACAGCTTACTTAATTAGTAAAGTAAATTTTTAATTTTGTTATTCCCTAATGGCCCTAATCTTACGGAGATTTAAAATTGAATTTTTTATTGTACTTATTACGATTAACGTAAAATGTTTAATATTGGTAATTTCTTTCATTTAAAATTAAATATTTTTAATAAGTAGAAATTTTATGGAATATCCATTACCAAAATACAGCTTACTTAATTAGTAAAGTAAATTTTTAATTTTGTTATTCCCTAATGGCCCTAGGCTGGGCATGGGGTAACATTATATCAGGGCATAAAACAATATGTATGTTTCATACTGATTTATTCCAAACTAAGAAAACAATGGCAGGATTTATTTTAAAAGGTAAGTACTGAATTTATTTTTGCGAACGATTAAATTTTCATTAAATCGTCATAATAAAGAGTTAAAAGACGAGAAGTAAACCAGTGATTTTTTAAAACTCGATATCGCATACGAATAAACGACTAAGGAAAACAATCACAAGGGGAGTCCTGTGTCGCTAAGAGAAATTTCTTATTGAAAAGGATTTTTCCTTATTGATAACGACTGATAAGGAAAAATCACGTCCATATAACGTTGAACGTTGGTCTTGCTGATTTTAAAGTGGTTTACCCCTCGTTCAAACAAATACAAAAAAATTAAGCTTCATTTGTTATATTACACAGGTCCACAAAAAAAGTGGTGTGTGCTGGGTGTCAGACTATGATTTTCTAGAGTATTTTTCAGTCAGAATTGAAGGTCAAACTGCAAGTAATAAAGAAAAACCGATAAAAATTCGCAATTCAGATTTGTGTTCAGCGGGAAAAAATACGCAAGAAAATAATAGTCTGACACCCAGCAAACACCACTTTTTTGTGGACCTGCGATATTATTAGGCGGCTAAATAACAAAATTGCCCATATCCAAAGAAAATCCAAGCCCTTTAGGAGGGTAGAATAATTTATAATATTTTTTTCAACTATTATTACCAAATTGATAGTTTTTTAAACTTTGGTCTCGTATTTTAGAGCCATTAAGAAAGTCGATTTGGATGTTCTTGGGGGTATTTTTTACTTTGACGGTTTCTAATTTGATGAGTTTTTAAAAAATCTCAACCTTTTAATTGCAAATAGTTACAAAAAAAATGTGGGTATATTATAAGCAATATCTAACTTTCAAAATCGGATATAAACAATTTAATTAAATACAATTATTGTTTAGGCCATGCAGAATGTTCAAAACGGTGGCATGTCGCTTGCCAAGGACGAGGAAAACGACGAGGTCCTTGAACTGGATCATTTACCCTTGGATTCGGAAAAAAGGACACGTTTTCAGGTGAATCGGGTAAGAACAAACAGCCAGAGTGTCGACGCGAACAACAAGGACTCAGCTGTAATCGAATTATCCGATGGGGAGCTTACGACAGACGACGAACTTCTTTCGGTCACCGATCGAACTCGATTGAATTCGGAGTATGCCAAAAGTTTTAGGTAATCACATTTGAGGTTATTTATTTGTCAAAATAAAATTAATTAAATATGGTTATTTTCCAATAAAGGAATGTTATCGGAAACATTCCATGAAAATGACTACTACGGATTTCTCTGATAGTAGCGTGTATTTTTCCATGTTCTATAGTATTAATTTTTAATTTTGTGTTTTAGAAACTTAACAAGAGAGGCCTTACCACGATTAGACAATTATAGAAATATATTATCAATACAAGCGGCAAATAGACCAACTTTAGATGAATTGCACAATGCCACTCTTCCAAGCAAGGTAAGATTTGTGCAATATATAAACATTTGTATAAGTATATTTGCTGTTTTTCTTGTTTTTTATATACCGTAATTAATCTTTATTTGTATAATATATTATGTAAGTATTATGGAAAACAATTTAAACATTGCCTCGAACATTGCATTAAAATAAATTAAGTAAAAAGTCACAAATCAATCCAGAACAGTTGTTAAATATACTTAAAAGACTGGTGGTAACTAAGTATAGAAACAAACTAAAGCCATGAACAGATGTTGAATTTTTTCGTAATTCTTGACATATCTGTTATAACATCATGACGTCACGCGCTCTCTTTAAGGTAATTCGTTTTGGGTAGCGTTCTTAAATATTGTTTTAGAAACGTACATTTTTTTATGACAAACTCGTATTCTTAGATGCAATTGAAAATTGCCACGCGCAGCCCAGCACAAAAAGATTAGCTTCTTGGCCTAATGACATAAATAACTATTATTATTATTAAGTATCGTAACATTATCCCGGCGCATTCGCAATTTTATAAATTTGAATATTAGTATGGATCAAGTTTGATAAACGCCATTTTAGTCACGAATTTAATTTAGGCACGAAAAGCAATTGTTGATACTTTAAAATATTAAAATAACTTCAAAATATGATTATGTTAAGAAAATATGTTATCTGAAATTCAAAAGCTCAATACCATCATATCTTTTCCAATATTGGCGTCAACTATTTAATACTTTTGTATTGAGATAATAAAATTATTTTTTCATTTAGTATTATTTTGCAAGAAAGGCACTTTATTTTAACGATTGTATGTCCTTTGACAACTGTCAACTAACTTAAAACTAACTTCAGTCCGTGACTAAAAACCTGTTGTTAACTTCAGCCCGTGACTAAAATGCCATACAGCTTGTTAATGTGTATTTAAAAGGTTACTTAGTGACATGGAAACATGTACGATAATGGGCGTTTTAAAGGTGGGAGTAGAAAATAGTATATTATTATACTGGGAGATAATGCAGATAATTCACGAGGATGAGGTTTACGTCTCGAGTCACCAGACGAGAGACCTAAATCATCTGAGTGAATATTGCGCAAAATCTCGAGTGTAATACTATACTTTATCTACTCCATAAGTAGATAATTAAATGATTTTCAAAATTAAATAAATAAAATCTGACATCTGTTAACCTCACTTTTTACCAATTTTAAATGTTATTATAGTCGCCTTCTTCCAAATTAAAACCGATTGGTTCAAATCACGCTGAATATTGAAATCGGCCAATCACTGATGCCTAACAACGTGAATATTGAGTTTATTATTCACGTTGTTAGGCAGAACATAATGTTTATCAATATTCAATAAAAAACTCCAAAATTATGCAATATTAGTAGATAATAGCTATTTGTGTATTAAAAGCGCAGTGATACATTGCCGCTCTGAGCGAGAAGTTTGGGTTCGGCTATCTCGCGAGAGCGGCAATGTCACTTTCCGCTTGAATTATACACAGGATTTTTTCTACAACCGGTGTTTCTATAAGAATAATTGGTAAAAATTAATAATTATTGATAACCTCAAATTTGACGTTTGTGTCAAAAGTCGCAAATACACTAGCGAGCGACAAAGTAAAAAAAAACCTCGCTTCTCGGAAAAGTGCAACAAAAGAAAGCGCAAATTTGTACTTTTCGCTTGGTTGTAGAAAAAATACATTATACATTTTATTAAATAATATCAATTAACGTCTAATGGCATTAATAATAATAATTATTAATTGGATTATTAAAATTGTTTTAATAAGAAAACAAATGTTCATTCTAAAATCGCGTATTAAAGGAAACGGAATACATAAAAAATAAACATTGTACTTATTTATAAGAATTAAGGCATTTAGAAACGTATAAAAAACGTTACTTATACCTAATCACATTGCAAATCCTATTAACTCGTATTAGGTATAGTAAATAAATCCAGCTATCTATTTTCTATAATAGATACAGATATTATGCGGCTATAGCTTTGCAATAAAAATGTTCAGGTTTAGTTGGTAGAAATTTTAATATATTTGCATAAATTATACATTTTGTATACCTACTCTTATAAAAATTGCGAATTTTACATATAATATTTTCTTACATGTACAGGGTGATCCCCTATAATGTCGCCCTTCCTTTACTTTTTTTATTTTAAGGGTCCCAAAAATTTAAAAGTGTGGTTCTTCGGTTGGTAGCACGGTAATAAACAGCAAGTTGTCTTGCCATTGCTGACTGTAAAACAACATGCAATACGGCCTTGAAAACTTGATGGCAAGAAAAATTGCTGCAAGAAGAATTGCCGGCTGTAATACTGCCTTTATACGTAGAAAAAAAGTATTTTTTAGTACCTACATAACCACACCTTTTTTTGGGACACTTAAAATAAAAAAGTTAAAGGGGGCGACATTATAGGGGATCACCCTGTACAATGTGACCCATTTGTTTGCGACTAACCCCTGTAAAATCTTTATTTATTGTGCGATTTTAACCGGATTTGTTTTAAAGTTTAGATCTTGATTTACTGTATTTTTTGAACAAAAATGCCATATTTTTACAAAATACAATGTCAGTTTTTGAGAGTAAATTTTGAAGAATTCATAATAGCGATTTAAAAAAAAATTAAGCACGGTACTGGATTCACAACCCCTTAAAACGACTCTATACTAAATTTTGTTATTTTTTTTTTAAGTAAGAACGATTTTGTAGCCAAATTAAAAATGTACAATAATAATTATTTACAAGTTTATTCTGTCAAGTTATCCATGGCAAAAACATTAAAATAAAATTAATTAATAGTAACATGGTATAAATATTTATATATATTCTTAGGCTTATTTTTAACAAATAAAAAAAGAAATACAAATTTAAAACAACAATAAAACAAAAATAGAGAATTCAAAAAATTAAACAATTAGATTTTGTTACCTCCACTACACAAGAACTACCTACGGGCTAGGGTAATACAAGCCTGCGCAGCCATTACTCCAGAAAAATATGAAAGTGTTTAAGTTTCTATTGCGTTTTTTATTTGTTAAAATTAAGCATAAGAATATTCATACTACGTTATTATTAGTTTTATTTTATTGCATTGTTTTTTTTTTGGAAAACTTTACGGAATAAATTTGAGGAAATAGCAATTATTGTGCATTTTTAATTTTTTCAATAAAATTTAGTTAGGTTCGTTTTTGGGGGGTGGTGAATCAGTACCGTGCATAGATTTTTTTTAATCGCTAATATTAATTCTTAAAAATTTAAAGTGTAGATCTTGATAAACTTTTTTATTTATAAAGATACACATGAAATTTTGCATGGTTAATTAGGATATAAAATGCAACTTATAAGAGTACAAAATGAATTTTTTGAACTTCCGGTTCGCCGGAAATGATATCAACTTTCGATATTTAAATGGAACGCCCTATATATTTTTACATATTTAGAATCCGGACAGCATCCTCAAATTGGCCTTTCGACGTTTCGTCATCATGATGAAAATGCATTATCATAAAGATCAATCTAGAGTGCTTTGAACTATTTGAGAAAAAGAATTTTGACAAGTTTAGACTGCTGGGAATAGCTGAATAACAACTTTCTAAGGCAAGTTCCATTTTTCAGGAATTGTGTGAATCCATTAAAAGAAAATAAGATAGTTCAAAGCACTCTAGATTGATCTTTATGATAATACATTTTCTGATGACGAAACTTTAAAAGGTCAATTTAAGGGTGATGCCTGGCTCAGAATTTCCTTAGGATTCCTAATATGTAAAAATATATAGGGCATTCTATTTAAAAATCGAAAATTCAAAATATTTACTTTGTACTCTTATATGTGGCATTTGATATCCTAATTAACCATGCAAGATTTCATGTGTCTATCTTTATAAATAAAAAAGTAGATACACCAGGTATAACAAATTAAATATAAAACTTATCCAAGGGTTCAAATAAATCAGTTGGCAAGACAAAAGCCTAAAATAACTATTTAAATTATTTTTAAATAGCGGGTTTATTTATAAAAAAATATTGGCCTTTTCGTACATGATTTGATTCCATTGATTTATTCTATTTATTAATGTAAAGCTTTAAACTAATTTAAAACGTAATAAAAATTTCATTACTAATTTATTTGAAACAGGTGGTTTTTTTATGAAATGCTTGACCAAAGTATTTTTGAGGATTTAAAACAATGCAGCAATAAAATTTGAAATAGAGACAATGAATCATTGTTATTCCTAATTAAAAGCAATTGGCTTATTAATCGAACTACGTTTTAAAAAGTAGTGAATAACACAGGCCGGGTCACATGTGACATGAAGGTTAATTAATTATTAACTTACCTCTTAATTTCGCCTTTTAAGAAACATGAGGTAATTAAGGGCTTATCGCGGTTTGTACCAATATCAAATTAAATTACAAATAATATGAAAATCATGTTCCAATAAGGCAATGAACTTTTTTGTTTGAAATCTTAATATAAAAATTAGAGAAAATTTGTATTAATGAAGTCATATTGCCGACGGTGGACTAGTGGTTAGTGCTGCTGACTACAAGCCGAGGGTTCGAATCCCACCAGGGGTATGGCTGTTTATTTGTGTTTGTCCTATTGTATATTAGTCCTTCGGAGGGGACTTTAAGCACGCAGTCCGTTCCTACCCCTAACACGCTCAAGCCATTCATTTGGCTTCTTGGACTTCTTAGGAAGTAATGGTGGAACTAAAAGAGCACTTTTGTATAAAACTAAAGATTTTAGAATACAAACCTAAATAATATTATAAGTTTAAATTTGACGCCTTAAGCTATATTAATTGTGTTTCTTAAGAAATATGTTAAAAATGTTACCTGCCATTTTTAATATATTTCTTAAGAAACACATTTACTAACAGCTCTTATTAATTATGAATTTTTTAAAATTAATGCCTACTTATTCTTACAGAATTTTATTCTTAATCATCCTTAATCATAGAACTAATTCAAAGACACCCACATTT